GGGGACAGATGGCAAATGTGAAAGGGCTAGAAAACACCACTCCATTAATTCCGCTCTGAGGCAGGAAACAGGGCAGCCAATGACTGCGGGAGAACAAGGTGGTGTGAAACAGCAGTGCTGAGGTAAGTCGGCAGTCCAAACACAACGTCCTCTCTTATGTAAGAAACCACAGCCGTGTGCCAGCTGCCAGGGGAAATAATGTGCCTCTGTGTGAGGGACTCTGGGAGCTAAGAGACTGGGGTGTCCTGGGGGTTTGTCAAAGCCATGTACACACTGTCTGTTCATGAGTATTCAGTCTCCAAAGTGGACTCCGACAGGGACAAAAACCAGACCCAGGGCCAACTGACCCAAGTGGCCACGCTTTCTACTCCCTGCATGGGCCACTACCTTACATGTGTCCAACATCCCTGCTCTCAATAGACACTTACAACCTGGAAACTCCACACCTTCCAGGAGCTTCTTTGGGGCTAATTAAGTTAAAAGAAAAAAGAGAGAGAGAGAGAGAGAGAGAGAGAGAGAGAGAGAGAGGGCTTCCAGACAGGGAGAGAAATGGACTGAGGAATGTTGTATTTGGCCTTAGGCAGCCTAGGTTTCCGAAGCCCTCAGCCTGGAAGCACACAGATGTATGTGACCAGTCTTTCCTGCTGTAAATTTCAGACGATCAATGTGGCAATTCTTGGAAACCCCAGTGAACCTCTTTTCATCAATTAGCAAAGGAGATAGAGGAGCTGAGCAGATAAAGTTGGAGGCAGAGTCACCCCTCGGCCCGAGCAAGCAATCTAGGTTGGTTCAGAAACAATTTAAGTCAAGGGGAAGCAAGTGATGAGCCTTCGTGTTCTGACGCGTGACAGACACTGCTGAACCCAAAGCCAGTCTATACTGGGAATGAAGGAAACAGCAGTGTTCTCTCATAGATGCCCTTCTTTAAAGCATCACCGAAGCAGAGACCATTCATCCAGACGGAAAAAAGGAAATGGGGGTGGCATTGAGATGTATTCATAACAAGTAGGTCCTGGACTTACTTTGTCACCTACAGCCCAGAATGACAGAGGGACCTGAACAAGCATTTACAAATGTGAGAAAAGACATGGCCATACACCAGGTACCAGGAAGGGCTGATTCCCTGAGGGTTGTCATTAACCTGAAACTTAAGGAATTAAATGTTAAGACACTGAGGAAGCTTTGAGAGGGACCATCATAGGAGGGGGGATGCTCAGTCTGGAAGAGGGTAGTGTGTGGATCGGACTAAAGTCATTTACTGTGGCTAGAGCTCAGAGTACACAGGGAAGGTGGTTTCCACAGAGATTTTCCGATTATGTAAGGATTGGGAATTTAACCCTGAAGACAGTAGGAAGCCACTGGGGCACTCCAAGTGGGAAAGGTCATGCTTAGAACATTTACTTTAGAAGGTATACTATAAAGAAAGACAGATGACCAGGCAGTGGTGGCGCACGCCTTTAGTCCTAGCACTCAGGAGACAGAGGCAGGCAGATCTCTAGTTTCGAGGCCAGCCTGGTCTACAAAGTGAGTTCCAGGACAGCTACACACAGAGAAATCCTGTCTCAACGAGAGAGAGAGAGAGAGAGAGAGAGAGAGAGAGAGAGAGAGAGAGAGAGAGAGAGAGAGAGAGAGAGAGAGAGAGAGAGAGAGTGTGTTAGGACAGGTTAGGATGGGTCAGATAATGTTTCTGTTCTAGGTTGAGTTAAGATACACAGAAAGTAGTACAATGGGCTCAAGATACTGAAATGAGAGTTGGCATCGGTTCTCAAGGGAATCCAGAGAGAACTCAGTGGGACCAGAGCAGACTTCATAAACTATTCTGAACACAGACCATTCCTTACTAAGCTGTACATCTGCAGTGCCTAGCCCGGGACTTACCATGTCTTCAACAGTAATGACTGTCCTATCTGATGGAGGAATGCCAGTCAGTGAGATGGCTCCCTAGGTAAAGGCACTTGCCACCACACATGACAACCTGAGTTCAACTCCCAGAACCACATGATGGAAGAAGAGAACAAACTCCCTAAAGGTTGTCCTCTGTTCTCTATATATTTGTGTACACACAACTACACAAATTAAAAAAAATAATGAAAAACTTTTAAATAAAAAAAATACATCCTGTAAAAGCATTGGCCTGTAACTTGAACACTAGCAGTTTAGTCTAGATACTTCATTTATAAATTCTCATAAAGAATAAAGGTATTCTGTAATTTCCACTCATGCCCCACACATACCTGTACTTCAGTCCCTCTACAGAATTTACAGCAGGATGATGGACTAGGACTAAGTTCATCATCTTACTGCCTGGGTCTCCTCAACTTAGAAACAAGGGAGGGAGGAAAGTGCTGGGCCTACAAATTGGGAGGCTCTTAGAAACTATGTCCTTTCCAGGTTCCAGTATCAAAGCCAACAGAAAAGCCTGCTGTCCTGTCCGCACCACCATGCACTCAGCAGAGCTGGTGGGCACACAAGTAGGGATGGCCATCCCCGGCTCTGACAAGGTCCTCCAAATACTGACGCAGCAAGTACTCCTGGAAAACTGGGACTCCCAAACTCTCCTCTGGAATAGTTTATACATAATAGAGCGTGCGCGCACATACACACACACACACACACACACACACACACACACAAGCGTGCGCACGTGTACCTTGTCACATTCTAAATCCTCTAAGAAAAAGACACTGTCCAAACTCCACCTCAGAAAAGTGTTTCAGACTTGGGGGGCCTTCCCTTGCCTGCTGAATAAAGAGTGTTTTCAGAGTCTGGAGTTTTCCAACTATTTGGAAACAGGAAGTGCCAAATCCCAGAGAACAGTAACCCTCACATACACCCTACATAAAGACGTGTGGAGCCATTAGCCCTAATTGCCTGTGACTGACACAGGAGTGAGGCTGGCCTTCCAGGCATCTGCTCCACGGAAAGAAACAAACAGCTCACTAGGGACACAGGCAGCCATTCTCTCTCCTTTCTGCCAAAATGATTCTGCTCTGTTCCCCCCAAATTATAGCATACAGATTTGAAAGTATAAACAACACATAGTTCTTTCAAGTCTCCCATACCACATATGAAAGAGAAAAGAAAAATCTCTGCAGGGGTACACAAGCAATTGGTTAATAAGCTCTTCACAAAATTAAACACTTGACCCCCTCCAAAAGAAAGGCCTTTTCAGAGCTGCCTCTCAATACTCCAATTTTCTTGAGATTCTAAGAGAATTATCTGCAGTGGTTTTTGTTTTCTGAACTCACTATTTAGGAGAAAGGATCTATGTGAATGCTAAGTACAAACAGCAAAAGCCACACATGCATTCTGACATGGGATTCTCAACAACTGGGGGTTCAGAAACGCCTGTGTGAATAAGGCATCATATTTCCCAGCAAGCAAGAGAAGAGACATCTTTCCAATGCCCATTATGAATTACACCTTGAGGGAATACTCACTATCCTGAAGCCCACATCAGCATATCACCAGTGACTGACAGGGCAGAAACAGGTTTCTCGTTTAAAACTACCTCTTTCTGGGTTTATTTGTGTGTCTGTCTGTGTGGGGGTGCGTGTGTCTGTGTGGGGGTGCATGTGCGTGTGTGTGTGTCTGTGTGGGGATGCGTGTGTCTGTGTGGGGGTGCGTGTGTGGGGGTGATGTGTATGTCTGTGTGGGGATGTGTCTGTAGAGAGCAATGGACAACCCACAGAAGTCAGCTCAGCTTTCTCCTTCTACATATAGGGCCTGGGGACTGATCTCAGGCTAGGTAGCAAGTGCCTTAACCTTCTGAGCCATCTCACCAGCAACCCTAAAACAATTTTTTAAACATTTATTTACGGGCAGGGAACATGCGCCACTGGGCACACATAGAGGCCAGAGGGTAACCTGCAGGAATCAGTTTCCTCCCTCCGCCCGGGGTTTTCAGGCTTGGTGACAAGCAACTTATACTAAGCCATCTTGCCAACATGGGACCTTGTTTTCTCTTAGGTCAAACTGATAACCAGGATGGACAATGGGACTGGCCCTGACCACAGTTGGCCTTACCTGAAGTAAGACTTTGTTTTCCAGGTCCAAAGCAGTCTCTAACTTTGTGGCTCCTTCACAGACACTTCAAAGAAATATGTGCCTGGCTGTCAGCACATGTTTCACATACACCATTTTATTGAAGTCCCTAGACGTGGATGCTTATTGTCACCACATAACCAACATGTAAGTCACACAGCCAAGGCCACACAGGTGAGGGAGATGGCTGGATTCAATCACCAATCTAATGAACCCCACCACCAAAACCAAACCAAAACAAAACAACAACAACAACAAAAAAAAAGCTCGTTCTCTTAATTTTTTTCTACGTGTGTTTATTTGGTGTGTGTATGTGTTTGTATAAAATATAAAAGGTCAGAGGACAACTTGTAGGAGTTGGCTCTTTCCTTTCACCATGTAGATACAGAGATCAAACTTAGGGTGCCACCTGGCTTGGTGGCAAGTGCCTTTATCCACTGGGCCATCTGGTCAGTCCCCAGGATCCATGCTCCTAATCCCCACTCACTACGTGGTCAACATTGAGCTCCCTTTGCTTTGCTGGAGTTGTCATCTTGGTTGAGGTCTTTTTATCCAAAGTAAAAGAGGACAAGAAAACAAGCATCTATGCTACACTGACCACAGTTGTGGGGATAACAGCCACAGTAATTCAGCACCTAAAGCCGAGTCCCTCATGGGTTGCCAAGGTCAAATTCAGGAGGGAGAAAGCTATTCTCTGGGCAGCATCTAGTCAGACACCCTCCCACAACCATGAAGGCAATGCCCTCCTTGTTCCACAGAAGCTATCTGCTTACGCCCCAGCATAAGGCAGCACTCGCCTGCCTCCGGGATGGGTTAGGGTCTCTCAGATATTTGCAGTTTAGCACTTTTATACCTCTCTTGCTTCTACACATGGTAGCCTTCCCAGAGACCCTGACCCGGTGGAGGAGGCAGTCCCTGAGGAGGAGAGTGCCATCATGGCACACAAGGCTACTCACCCGGCAGGGAGAGCATCAGGGGCTTGGGCAGTGGCCGGAAGCTGCTGTGTCCCTGAAGTGCTGGGCTCCTCTCCCTCAGCTGGTATGGACGGTGCAGGAAGGGATGTCGTGTTGGGGTTTGGGGACACATTCAAGGCTGCAGCAGGTGGGGCTGTCACACCAACAGCAGAAGGTTCTTCAGGATCACTGGCTGTAGTAGGTTCCTCGTTCACTGAAATGCATAAACCATAAACCATTAAAGGTAACTAGAAATAAGAACTTTCTTTTCTTCTACTAGGTTTTGAACACCATGCACTAACACTGTGTCTATGATATTAGCCTATTAGACACTTGTGAGTTTCACTAAAGCAGACCTTGCGCACTGGCTCCAGCACTCAGAAGGTAGAAGCAGGTGAATGGCCTCAAGTTTGAAGCCATGTGGTGAATTTCATGTCAATCAGGTCTGATATCAGCCAAAAGGGATTTATACTCTAGTTAAAGCGCATATTTGTATTTTGTACTGTGGGAAGGACTCTACATACACACACTATCTAATAATCATAATCACAGTCAGAAGACACACTGATGAGAGTGTGTCCTAAGTTAACCTACCTGAGTGGGACTCAGGAAAGCTGGCTATACTAGAGACTTGATAATAACAAACGTACAGGAGACAATAAGGAGAGCTGCACCATGAACCTCACAGACAAGGCTTCCCAGCCACCGGGCCAAGGCTCCTGCTCTCTATGGAGTGTGCTGGCAGGCACTGGGAGGAAGGTAGATTCTCTGAGGTACTAATCCTGTTTTCACAAATTGTCAGATCTAAATAAAGTATAGCCTAAAGATTCAATCCCAGGGCTAGGGAGATGGCTCAGTGGTGGGGAGTGCGTGCTATTCTTCCAGGGGACCTGAGTCAGGCTCCCAGCACTCATGTCAAGTGGCTCCAGGGCATCCGCCACCCCTGGCCTCATCTACACATACCTACATGCAGACACATACCTACGCATAATTAAAAATAGCAATTTTAAGAGGAAAAAAAAGATTCAATTCCCATCAGTGTTTTGGTGACAAGTGACACAAACTCTGGTATTCTGGTTGAAGGGCTACATAGTAAGCTCTCAGCCAGATAGTTGGGGCTATAGAATGAGAACTTATTTCCAAAAACAAACAAAAAACAACAACAAAAGCATTACTATAAATATTATATGAAGTGAGTAATGCCTTCCCAAAGGACATGAGAAATGAATTACGTGTGTTGTGCATGTGAGTGGACACCCTGTGCACTTGCATGCAGAGGCTAAAGCAGGCTATCTGGTGTCTTCCTATATCTCTCTGTTCCTTGTTCTTTGAGACTGGGTCTCTCACTGAACCAGAAGCTTGCTGCTTTGGCCTGGCTGTCCACCAGCAAGCTCTCAGGATCCACCCATTTCCCCCCCCCAGTGCTGGGATTACAAGGGCATCCATATATGAGTGCTGGGGATTCAAACTCAGGTCCCTTGATGGAAAAGCAAGTACTCCTACCCACTAAGCCACCTCCCCAGGCCCAGAAAATGGATCTTAAGCAAATGAGTTAAATAACTTTATTAGGGTTTTCTAATATACTATGGTCACACTGACACCATACAAGAGCATCAGGAAAGAGAAGGCTAACAAAGGAAGGTGCTGGTGTAAGTGAAGCAAAGCCAAGGCCAAGTTTACAGGGACACATCCTTTCCTTTAAAGTTGCCATCTGCCTGCTAGACACGGACAGCACTTTTCTTCACACACTTCTGCACACACAAGCCATAGAAACTTCTATAATGGTCTTTTTATGATTTTAATCTTATTGTATGTGTTTGACTGTTTTGCTCCCATGTATGCTTGTGCACAACATGTATGCAGTAGCCCACTGAGACCCGAAGAGGATGTTGAATCCCTTGGAACTGGAGTTACAGACAATTGAAGCCAGGTCCTCTGCAAGAGTAGCCAGTGCTGAGCCATCTTTCCAGTTCCCCAAAATGCTCTCCTAAGGCAGTGGTCCTCAACCTGCCTAATAATGCGACCCTTTTATACAGTTTCTCATGCCACGGTGACCCTCAACCATACAACTATTTCATTGCTACTTCGTAACTGTAATTTTGCTAGCTATGAATTTTAATGTAAATATCTGATATGCAGGATATCTGTTCTTTGACCTCTGTCTTCCAAAGGGTTGTTCCACCCCCAAGGTAGTGTGAGGCACAGGTTGAGAACCGCTGTTTTAAAGATCCTTGATTCAAGGACAGAAACAGGGATTAATAGCTAGATGAACGGGGCTCAGAACTAAGGACTTGTCTCCAAGGCAACAACAGACAACAAGTGAAACAAAGTAGCTCCTAAACCACCTTCTTCTTCTTTTTCTTCTTCTTCTTCTTTTTTTTTTTTTTGGTTTTACGAGACAGGGTTTCTCTGTATTGCTTTGGAGGCTGACGGTCCAGCCTGGCCTTGAACTCACAGAGATCCGCCTGCCTCTGCTTCCCAAGTGCTGGGATTAAAGGCGTGTGCCACCAACGCCCGGCAGCTCCTAAACCTTCTTACCTCACTGTTTCTTTGGGTCTTTGATGATCGCTGTGTCTATAAGGGTCCAAGGCACTACAAATCCTCTAACTTGGAAGGCAGATCAAATAAGGTTTTAAAGAATTACAATTCTTTAAAAATAGAGGAGCTATATGCAGAACTGTCTATACATTTACATAAGAATTTCAATGCAAAACATCTTAGTCATTATTTAGTTTCAGATTTCTAATTCAGAAATTTGTTTTGTAGTTCCCCTAAAACAGCATGTGTGTAGCTGCTCCTGGGTCTCCTCTGAGTAGACCACCACAGTTACAGTTTACTGTTGAGCAGATATAGTTAAAGGAAGTTCAGCTTAACTGGCCTCCATTCTCCACATCAAAGCAATTCAAAATAAGTATCTGGTGCATCTTCTGTTTCTCATTAGTCTCCTGTTCTGACCCTGATAGAAAGGCTACTATTTCCTCACTGTTACTAGGCTATCCTTTTGTAACTGGCTGTCATTTCTCCTAAACAGTGTAAGGCTATGACCAAGAGAGCCAGATGGCAATTTCCTAAAAGACTTACTATATGTATGTGTAAATGTTCTGCTACATGAATGCATGTCCACTACTTGTGTGCTTGTGTCTGAGGAGTTCACAAGAGGACACAGATTCCCTGGAACTGGAGCTAGGGAAGGTTATGAGCTGCCATGTGGGTGCTAGAAATTGAGCCAGAGTTCTCTGAAAGAGCAGAAAGTGCTCTTAACTGCTGAGCCATCTCTCCAGTCCCCAGATGACAAGTTTAAATAAGAATAATAAACGTTACTACTGAATATGAGATGGGATGGGGGTGTGCCAGACAAGACACAAGGTTCTCTCTTAGTTTATGTTCTTTAAGCTTCACACACAACCCCACGAGTTAGGCAACTCAACTGTCCCACATTATATGGAGGAAACAAGCATCCAAGAGGCTAAATAACCAAGCATAGCCGTAGGACATTTAATTCATACCCCTCTATCTGCCTCCAGGACTTAAGCCACTCACTCCATTATCCTGCATATCCTTCAGTAGGAACAAAGATTACATATAACCAGGTCCAACTGGCGAACACTGGTAGCCAGCTAAAACCAAAATGTCTTCCCAGGATGTGACCAAGCTTGACTTTAACAAATGGCTGTGAGCCTAAGATGTGGAACTGCTTCTGACTGAATCCTCTGGGTTTTGTTCTATTTATTTTTCTTGCAGTGCTGAGGACCAAATCCAGAGGCTTGCACGGGCTAGGCAAGTGCACTGTCCCTGAGCTGTATCCTTAGCCTGAGACCTGCTTGCTTTCTTCTCAGTGTTAATACTGCCTGGCAAAGAGGCTATATCAGATGCTTATAACCAAATCTGTACAATGACTGTTTCCCCAACATAAATGCAAAGCTTTGTTTATTTTCCATATTCTATCTGAACTAAGCTAGTACATACAACAGATGGCAATCCTCTTTATGCAAATCTATAAACCTTATGCAATTCCAATCTTTAAAAAACTCCACCATGCCTTTTTAAGTCGTTAGATAAATTCACTGTAAAATGTATAAGGGAAACTAAATTTGTAAGAACAGAGACGAAGATCTAAAGAAGAGTGCTGATTTTTGTTGGGGGTTTTTCTCTAGTACATCAGACCTACCACAGAGCTATGATAACGAACTAAATCATGAACAGTCAGAGAATAAATGAGTAAATGAACAAAGCGTTCAGAAACTGACAAATAATTCAATAATTCATTGGAGGTTGCAAAATAATGATTCTAATTCCCTTGGTGTGGTCTTCACTTAAATAAAGAGGAGCTGCCCCTCAACCACTCTGGTTCCCCCAGTTTCAGTTTGTGAGGGATGGAGCCTGTGGAAAAGCTCAAGTCTCCCTCTGCTAGTCCCCAGAATAATGAGCTGATGACTTTGAAAAATTACTGCGGGGTGGTAGAGGTGGCGAGATGGCTCAGCCATCCAGAGAACCTGACTTCACTTCCCAGCACCTCTGTCTGATGGCTTCCAACCTCCTGTAACCTAGCTCCTGGGAACCCAACACCTCTAGCCAATTGGGTCCCTCTACTCTTAAGCACACACCCACCCACCCACCCAGAGTTACAATTAAAGCTTTTTGCAATGCTGTGGGAAAAAAATCACATGAATAGGATTTAAAATTCTCAGTCCATGTGTTAAAGCCCTTATTTATAGTAAAAGTTCCCCCATATTAGCTGGGGTTAGTGGAGGAGTTCATAGGACAAAGCTCTTCACATTGGCCTCAAGTCAATGGAAAAGCTCTAAGATAATTAAGTGGGAAATGGCTGTAAAGTGTATATATACTGTTATTCTCTGTGTGTTTTTCCCCTCTGATAACACATATTTATACACTTGTACATTTACAGAATGTCTTTAGGGGAACCACAAAAAACACAATAGTGACTGTCTATGCATGTTTGAGCTATGCTTTCTCTCACACACGGTTTTTAGAGACAGGGTTTCTCTGTGTAGCTCTGGCTGTCCTGAAACTTTTCTTAAGACCATGATGGCTTCAAACGCAGAGATCTGCCTGCCTCTGCCTTCCCATTGCTGGGACTAAAGGCATGAGCCACCTCGCCAGCTTAAATTGCTTTTTTATCTAAAAATTGTTAATAGGTGTATTTGTATGCACGTGAATGTAGGTGCCTGCTTAAACCAGGAGTGCTGGGGCCCT